ATTTAATATGATTACAAATTACAAATAATTAATTTTAATAAGGAAATTATTTTTCTATGATGCAATAGGATTTTAGGAATTCTATTTTGTGACTTTTGTCTTATAAACCATAAGTTATAAATCTATCCAAACATGCTCTAATAAAAAAAGATAGAATTATCAAAGATGTCTCATCTATAAGACAAATAATAGTTTTATCGAACTTTATAGGAAAACGTAAATAACATATGTTTAAACATCATACTCTTCACAACAATACTACTTAAAGGCCATGAAATAAAACTAAACTAAATAAACAGAAGGCTTAAAAGACTGGATAATGTGTGATCCTTAAAACTAATTAGGCCAACTAATTAATTAGTCTAAATAGAAATGTTAAAATTTAAGATTATAATAAATATTATCCTTAAACGGTTATGATTAGTTTTAAAACTACATATTTTGTTTCTAATTTTAAACTTATATTTTTAAAATTAATTAACCACTCTCAATTCAAAATTTTGAATTTAAAATTTAAAAATATAAATTAAAAATATTATGTAACTCTTTAAAAAAATAATTTTTTTAATTTTTAAATAGTTTCTTACTTCATTATTAGAAAGTATCAAAAAAACAAAATCAACACACTAATTATTCGACTAATTAAAACTTAAGCATCAAACCAACAAACTCAAAATATACTACTAAAATAGTATAGAGTCTTAGATAACTTCAACAAAATATTGAGATCATTTCATGATTGTTTATACAATCAAATAAAAACATATGTTAAAATTTTGTATTAAATTTATGATCATGACAAATTTTTCTTGCGCTAAGATTAAAAATCTATATTAAAAAAGAGACATGAATTAATACGGTGAACAAGCTTGTTAAATTCTAAAATAAAAAATTATAAATACTTACCTTTAGTGTTGATATAAATGCATTTTTTTTTAAAAAAGGTATAAATTAGTTTTTTTAAAAATATTAAATCTGTCCTAGATATAATTTTTTTTAAATTGAATTTTGAATATTTTAACTGATTTGAAGTGGAGTTTTATAACCAATTGATTTTGACACTTGTGTTTTTATTTCAAATTTCAAATTTAGAATATTTAATTAGTTATATAATATTTAATTATTTATAATTTAAAATTTTGAATTTTGTGGTGCTGACATGTGTCCTTTTTTCTTCTCCTATTATATATAGATAGATATTCAAATTCAGACCTCTAAATATTAATGTACATCTTAATATTCAAATTTGCATTTAGATTCAGACGTCTTAGTCTTAATAAAATTAAATGATGCCTCAATCCCCCTATGAAAATTACATTTTTTTAATATTAGGTTAATTTTTTCATCTGTATATAAAAGATGTTGATCAAAACATAAGCTTTAAACACATACATTCATGCTATCACATAAATTTAATGATATCAGAATCTTAAACATGGTAATCTTTTTAAAATCTGTCAGAGAAAAAATACCTAAGTCGTAACCATTATCATATATAGATGACTGGAAGTGTTAATTGAAAATCAATTTCTACTTCTGTGCCCGCTTTAAGCACACAAGTTCATGCTATTATATAAACTTAATGCTTATCAAGATCTTAAATATGGTAATCTTACTAGAATATGTTGCAGAGAACAATCTTGAGGCATAAGCATTATCATACATAGATGAGTTGAAGCGGTAATTGACAATATATTTCTACATCTGTGCCCTAACCTTATGCTACTAGGGGCGCCGCTAGTGATGAAATTATGCATATATATGTGATAACCCTAATGATGGAGAGATGATCAATTTATAGAGGTTGAGACTTAATCCTGCACGTCTATCAAGTAACGGATCTAACGGACAAGATTCGTTCTTCATTAAATATTAGTTATGAATTTTTCATTAATTCAGTCACACATAAAATAATAAAAAGTCTAACATTCTCCCACTTAGCTTAAAGACCACATAACACTAATATTTAATGACATATTCATTAACTGCGAATAAAACACAATTTTTCTATAATGTCTATCATACAATGATATGACAAAACATGAGTTATGACGGTTATACATAATTTTGTGCTACATATTTCCTTTCATAATTGATAGATGGCAGTTTACTTAACCTTTTTTCCACATTACTGCTCCTTCAATGTATCGAGATATTAAAATTAAAGATTTATTGAATATAAAAATGTTATTATTTTTTAAACAGACTAAAAAAAATATAAGGCCCATAAATGAAAACAAATAACCCAGATCTTTTGGTTAATGTGGCAAGACCGATGATTATTTTAGAAAAAAATTGGGATTTTTAGAAAATAAGATTTTGTATGGATTAGGTGTCTAAAAGCATTTTTATGTGGTGCTAAGGCATGAGGAATATAACAAATCGAAGGATATATATCTAAGGCAAACAATATTAAAATGAGAGAAGTAAGGAAGACAAAGTGAAAAGTGGAAGTCATAACTTTCTCCATTTTACATTCATTTTTTTCTTTTTATTGTCTGAATGAATTATCAAGATTAAAACGAAAAAACTACAACCTATAAATCCAAAATAAGGCGTGAAAGGGATTACGCATATCCTAAGTCCTAAAAAGAATGTATAGATGTAGAGATCCATAGGTAAATATACTACGTATCTACTTTTAGATAGGCCCATTTCATGATCTTTTAATTTGTCAAAATTTTTAAAATTTCGTAAAGCCCTCACTCAGTTCCTGATCTACATCGTGTCAATCCCCATCAAAGTGATTCTTCCATTTCCATGTAAAGATCATTTCCTTCCGTAGCAAGTTCACCCACTTTGGATGGTAAAGAAACTTTAATTAGCCATACTTTCCAAAGATGATCCTGCCGGTACAGACTATGTTGTTCGGATTTTCTAAAATTGTTGTTGAATTCTCCAAAATGCATTATTTTTGGAGTGTTTTACACGCGCTTGTCAATATTTTTAAGAATCTAAGAAACATAGGGAATAGGGGTCCCAAATGATAGTGTTGCGGAAATATTGTGGATTAACTAGCTCACAATCACAAACAAAGAAAATATATAGACAAGAAGAATAACATGAGATTCGGCTAGGCCTACTCCTCCCATCGAAAGCAGAGAGAGTTTTCCACTATGAAAGAAATACAAGTTTTTCAAACTCTTAGGACTATATTGTGTATCCTGTACAATGCTTTTGAATCCCCAACTATATCTCATATATATAGATGCCAAATAGTCCTAAACCTACAAGGAAAAAGTTTTCTCAATCCTAAAAGGACAATATACTTCTTTTCCAAATCTATTAGAACTAAGAGTCTCCTAAACAAATAGAAATTATGAGTTTTTTACAATATAGTAATTAAGAAATTCAAGAGATAATTAACCGGCAATAGAAACTTGCCTATGTAAATAATGGCGAACTGGATTATTGGTAATAACAGTATAATATGTGAGCTTTCAGTAAGCTAAAAATCTGTGGGAGAAAGGCAAAGTACAATGGTAGAGTGTGAGATCCTGGAGTGAGGAAAACATAGCAGAAGCTAAATTAAACCTCTCTTCTCTTTTCTGTACCATACCATGGCATCGGACAATAATTTTGTTCAAGCAGCAATTCCTCGCTTTGATGGTGTCATAGAACGGGAAATCTTATTGATTTACTTCATCTCTAGAAAATCCATTAAGAAAGTGGATGATATTGAATTTTACAGGGCTTGATATTCCAAAACTGTTGTGGGTTTCAAATTCATTTCTATGGGATCATCTTCGTTTTCAGTATAAAACTCACCCAATTCTACCTGGATTCTGGTAGTGAAGTCCATTCCCAATATTGTGGTATATCAACCATTGGAATAGAAAGATCCCTTCAACCTAGAAAGTAACATTTCTTTCCGGTTGATTTTTCCAGTGTGAAACTCTCTTCAACAATCGCATAAATAAAGTAACAAATGCACAATCGATTACTCGTTCACTTTTACTTGTCTAATATTCTAAAAATAAATTAATCGTTTTTCCTTCATTTGTTACCTTGCGACCTGCATCAATTAAGAGGGGCTGACCACACAAATAAACATAGAGATCTTTCTTCAAAGGAAAATCAGGGACGGGAGTCAGTGATGCGGCAATGATGGACTAATAATCCAAGGGCAGAAATTTTTTCCCAAACGGAATTGGACTCAGCTGCGGATTGAAGTGATTTAGCGATTACAAAAATGCACAAACATCGAGAGGGCTTGTATAGGCCAGGATCTTCGTAGTACAATCTTCTGGAAGCATCGACAAACAAGGTGCGCTTCTCTTACATTTACCATTCCAATTCAAATCCTCCATTGAAGTTTATTACTTTACTGTATTGCTTTTGATGTGTTACAGTAGTAAAAGATCTACATTCAAAACACATTTTGGTATATTATAAGCATCTATGCTTATTAAAGTGTTCCTAAATTGGATGGAATCAGGTGTCGACTAATAATATAATGGAAATGGAAATAAATTTAAGATCAATGAATTAAAAATTTTCCTGATACTTTAAACTTCAGTCAAATAAATAAGACACATCATAAGTTAAAACTTTTAATTACAGTCGAATTAATAAGACACATAATTAGAATGCATAATTAGTAACACACCCTCTTGGATTTTAAAAGCTGTGAATGGAAAATGAAAAGTTGTGACTTTCTGAAAAATGGTGACTTTTTTGAAGAGTTGCGACTTTTTCGCAAGGTTGTAATTTTTCTGAATGGTTGTTACTTTTCCAAAGGATTGTAATTTTTTCAAAGGATTGTAACTTTTCCAAACGATTGTGACATTTCTGATAAGGCACAATAAACACCTATTCACACTATTCTTTGTTGTTTATGTTTATAAACAGATGGTTTCTCTCATTTTTCAACAAGGAATTTTCTAAATTTCAGAGTTTCTTCCTAAATAAATTGTAGTGTACTTACTGCCATTGAGTGGTAAGTATTTTTGTAATACAAATTAGACAACAAACCCATCAAAAGCATTATTACAGTCTCGATGAATTGGAATGGTAAATATAAGAGAAGTGCATCTCATCTGTCAATGCTACTGAACGATTGTACTGCGGAGATCTTGGCCTTAACAAGCCCTCTCGATGTTTGCCGCATTTCTCAAGTTTCTAAATCACTTAAATCTGCTGCTGACTCCGACTCTGTTTGGGAAAGATTTCTGCCCTCTGATTATCAGTCTATTATTTCTGCATCACTGACTCCCGTCCCTGATTTTGCTTCAAAGAAGGATCTCTTTGTTTATCTGTGTCACCATCCTCTTTTAATTGATGCAGGTCGCAAGGTAACAATAAATGAACAAAGAGGGAAAACAGTAATCTATTTTTTGACTACTAGACAAGTAAAAGTGAACGAGTAATTGATTGTGCGTTTCTTATACTACTGTTGAACAGAGTTTCTCACTGGAAAAACGTACCGGAAAGAAATGTTACTTTCTAGGTGCAAGGGATCTTGATATTCCATTGGTTAATAGACCATCATATTGGAAATGGACTTCACTGCCAGAGTCCAGGTTTGCGCCATTTTTTTTAATTGAGATCTTCTGAATCATTATTTGTACTGACTGATTTGTAGTTCAAATATATTATTACCTCAGTCCCAATATATGTGAAATAATTTAGATGACTATTGTGTATTCTCATATTGTGAGATCAGGTTTCCAGAGGTGGCTGAGCTCAAACGTGTTTGGTCGGTAGATATTGGGGGCACAATAAGAGCTGGGGTTCTTTCACCGCGGACATCTTATGAAGCATACCTTGTTTACATGTTTGGAGATGAATTTGGATTTAGTTATCGACCTTCAGAGGTTTCAGTTGGAGTTTCTGGTGTTAAATTGGATAAACGATTTGCAATTCTCGTGCCAGAAGATGAGGAGTCAATTTATAACCTGCCCCCTGATCTAGAGGATAGGCTCAAGAAAGTGTATGAACAGGCAGTACGTTCTAATCTGCCTTCTGATGCAGAGGACGATGATCCAGGGCTACGTGATGATATTTATTTGGCTTTGCAACATTTGCCGTTGCAGCTTTTGCCAGAGAATGTTTCAAATCGGCTGCAACTTGTTATGCGACGACCAAAACTTAGAGATGATGGCTGGTTTGAGATAGAATTGGGTGAGTTTTATACTGAAAACGAAGATGATCGCATAGAAATGAATTTGAAAGAGCTGAAAGAGTGTGCATCTCTAAAGGCAGGGCTTATTATTGAAGGAATTGAGATAAGGCCCAGAATGGATTGATTATCACATTTTTTTTAGAAAATATTTCTTCCATTTCATAGAACTGTCAATTATTAGTGAAAAAAATAGATGACATGTTTGTTTTCCAGTTCTGAGATAATGTCTGCAGTATAAGTGTGCAAGTATCACACAATTTAGTTTGACTTTGCTACTTCTCTACCATTTGTTTTGAGGGTGACACATATTCCTGATTCACAAATAAATAAAAACAACTCATTATCAATTTAAATAATCCTTAATAGAGGATAATAAAGAAATTCAGTTACGACGAGAGGGAGTTGCTCGGATGGTAAGTATACCTCATTTCCAACCCAAAAGTTGCGAGTTCGAGTCACCAAGGAAGCAAAAGGGGGTGGGAGCTCCTAGAGAGGGTAAAAAAAAAAGAAATTCAGTTACGTAATTAATTTATCTGATCTTTTCAATGATCAGTCATTGTGATTCTAACCAAACGGTCAGTAAAATACCCTTGTTTTTTTTTTTTGTAAATATCAGACCCTTGATTTGTCTTCAAATATGTACTATTTAATTGCTCATTTCAATTTGAACAAATAATTTTATAAAACAGAATAACATTAGCTACATAATTATATTGAATATATAGTGTTTGATAAAATATGATAGTATTTATGTGTTACACGTTTATTTCCAATTTTTATTATAAAGTTTACATTTGTGGTCACCAAAGAAAGAATTATTATCAACCATACAAAGACTCAAATCATAAAATTTGAAGTCTTATCGTGTATAATAATTTTTTATTTGTAGTTATTTATTTGTCCAATAGGAATTATATTATATGTGTGTTGTAATTGATTATATAACCACATATTTGTTATCTCAAAATTTAATTGTTTAACTTTACAAGTTTAGAGTACAATCCCCAATATTTTGTATGTATTGAACAAACAGTGGAACTTGAACAATCAAGTCATTTGTGTAAACTGATTATTTATAAAATTCAACTTGTACTTTCTTTCTTCTGATTTATAAACTCATTATACACATATTGTCTTATTATTTCAAAAAAAATAAAAATCTATAGAAATTGTGACACAAGTGCAATAGCATAAATAAAATAAAAAATGCTTTTCTCTTTAACTTATCTAATATTTTAAAAATAAATTAATTGTTTTTCCATCATTTGTTACCTTGCGACCTGCTCCAATCATGAGGGGCTGACGACACAGATAAGCATAGAAATCTTTCTTTGAAGGAAAATCAGGGACGGGAACCAGTGATGCGGCAATGATGGACTGATAATCCGAGGGCAGAAATTCTTCCCGAACGAAATTGGAATCAGCTCCGGATTGAAGTCAGAAATGCGCAGCTGTAGTCTCTAAATCACTTCAATCCACTGCTGAGTTTCATTCCGTTTGGGAAAGATTTTTGTCCTCTGATTATCCGTCCATTTCCAAATCACTAACTCTTGTCCCTGATTTTATTTCAAAGAAGGATCTCTATGTTTATCTGTGCCGCGTCCCCTCTTAATTGATGCAGGTTGCAAGGTACTAATAAATGAACAATTGGAAAAGCAGTTATCTATTTGTGGACTATTAGACAAGTAAAAGTGAACGAGTAATTGATCATACACTTTTACCTTATTTATGCTACGGTTTAACAGAGTTTCACACTGATTTCCACATGTGGCTAAGCTCAAACGTTTTTGGTCAGTTGATATTGGGGGCACAATAAGAGTTGGGGTTCTCCATTTGTAAGCATAAGATGCAGAAGACATTATTTTTCAAGAAAGATCCTTATTCTACTTTTTAAAGTTTACAGTTGATATTAAGTATCAATATCCATCATCCCCCCTCACTTAGGCCTCGTTTGTTTGCAAATTTTAATATTTTTGATCTCAGTCATTTAGGCCTCATTTGTTTTCATTAAGATTAAGACGTTTGAATCCGAATGCACATCTAAATGTTAAGATGTGCATTAAGTTTAAGATGTGTCACGCCCCGAGCCTACACTCTGGGTGGGACTGACACTCGAGAACCATTGATGGCCCCAAGCGAACGCTTGACCTGACTTACTTACTCAGCGGAAGACTTTAAGCATTAAGAAAAGAATTCAAATGCTAAATAACTCAACTGTCTCAAACTGAACTCATAATGCTTTAAAAATAAACATTTAACTTAGCCAAAGTGGCAACTCAAAGCTGAACATAAGCCAAAAACAAGATAGTGACAAATGAATTAATGACCGTCTGTCTATGAAGCCTCTAAACAACTGAGATGGATGTCCGGACAAGACCCATTACATCCTAATGAACCAACTAATACTGAAAGCAATGAAAAGGGATTCTCCGAAAGCAAGAAGGCTCACCACAAGACTCTGAGTGCTCAACTGGATCAACGATGCGTTGTATGATGATCCTTGTTTCCTATGTCTGCATCATAAGAAGATCCAGATCAAATGGCATCAGTACATTGAATGTACGAGTATGCGAAGAGAATTCTAAAACAAGACATAAGCTTGAAGGGAACTGAAGAACTTACCTGGCACAACTCAACTCAACTTAACTGAACTTATTTCAGTATAAAGCAGTATAAAACAAGTGCAATATAAAGAAAAGCTTTTTAAAACATGGATGTCAACTCTGTGTATTTGGAAATACAATAATACTTGGTGTGTATGCAAAGTTACAATATAACTCTGAAATGTATGTAAAAATACAATTAAACTGTATATATAAGAATACAAATACTTTTGTGGGAGTTTCTCTAACCGACAACCATCACGTAAGAGTTATTGTGATGATACATCATTTTACCTCACGCTGCCAGGGCCGTCTTATACCTTGCCGAGGGTATAGAATCTGAACTACTAAGTGGATCCACTAGTGTATGCTAAAAAGCCCTAAAAGAATCATCTAAAAAGTATGACCCTTTTTTACCCATGATGGCTACATGGTTTATGGGGACTGTGAGTTGTCTGAATTATCCCCCATATCGGTGTTCAATACTACTCCCAAAATATGATACTAGCTCTTATGTTTAAAAACATACTTCTTTCTGTGATTTGAGATAATTGTTCAAAAACTTAGCTCAAATTCTATCTTGGAAATCAAAGTTTCCTCTCTTGCTTAATTGTGAAAGCGTTTACTCTTTTCTGACAAATAGCTCAAAGGCTCTTTGGAAATCAAGGTTTCCTTTTCTTGTTTAAATGTGAAAATATTTTGAACTTTTTGGGAATACATAGTCCCCATATACTTTGAAAAAATGAACTTCAATCTTTACTCTTTACTCTTTACTCAACTTGAACTTTCAGTCTTAAAACAACGTTAAAACTTTTGGAACACTCTAAGAACTCTTCTTGATTTGACTCTTACTTCTCTTGACTTTGATCTTAACTTTCCTTGAATTGGTTTATGGATTAAAGGTTCATGATCTCATATTTATGATGATTTCATGATGTTTAAACGCACCTTAGAGTATAGAAATCGATTGGAAAACAAAGGTACGTTACTAAGGAACTAGTACGAAAAGAAGAGGGAAAATGGGGTGAATGGTGTCCTTGGCGCTCTGAGAGGTGTAGGGCGCCAGAGCCCAAAGTTCAGAGAACCCTGGTTGGGGCTCTGCGATGGGCGACGCACCAGAGGCAAAAGATTAGAGAATTCAGCTTGGGCCTATGAGAGGGGCGACGCCCCAGGCCCCTGCCCAGGTGCCTCCAACTTTTCTTCTTCGTTTTTCAACTCTAAACCCTCTATTTCGACTTGGTTCTTTCTCCAAACACTTAGAATCAACTATACCATCAATATATGAGAGATTCTAATCGAATTCACACCTAAAATTATGAATTTGGGTCCAAGAACTTATCAACAACTCATCAACCAAGAATCAAACGAAACTTTCAACAATGTTCATCAAGAACTCAATTTCTAAACTTTCAAAGACTTAAATTCGCTGAAATAAATCATGATTGGCGCGTGGGTAAACTAACTTAACGCTATGTGATCTCACATACCTCGTAGGGATCATCCCTTGATGAAATTCACAAGCGGTTCTTGAAGATCTTGACAATTCTTGCTTCTTCTCCTCTTTTCTCCTCTTCTTTTCTCTTCTCTCAAAAATCCTAACTCTTTTTTCCAAAAGCGTAAACTGACTAAGATCAGTTTAAACTCTAAATAATTACCCAAAAACGAAATAAAATAATTGGGTAAGGAAAAGACCATAACACCCTTCTAAAATCCGAATTAGACTTTTCTTATTTGAACAACCCAACTTCAAATGGGCATATCTCACTCATATGAACTCGAAATCGCGTAAATTCGGTGGTGTTGGAAAGATTATTCCAACGATATTTGGAAACACACCTAACTCATCCTGAGCTAGGAGTTATGGTCGTTTGAAGTTGACTAAAAACCCAAACTTAACAGTACTTAACCAAATTTTTCAGATTTTCATTCTTTCCAAAAATGGCTCTTTCTAATTCTAGTTCTTTCTAGTTATGGGGTATTACAAGATGTCAGAATCTGAATGCTCATCTGAATATTAAGATGTACTTTCTAGGTCTGAACACTGAATCATTAAGATTGTTTGTTTTCAATATCTGAATGTGCATAATTTTTTTAAAAAAAATTAAGAATTAAACACTATATCAATAAAGGTTATAACTCAAACCAAGGTAACTTCTTCCAAAAAATTGTTTCAAGAATAAGATTATAACTCACCCAGAAAAAGGATGATTTATTTGTTTTCTCAAGAAACAATAAGAACTTTTTTCCAAAGAAGTTCTGACAACAAACAAATTGTGACAAGAAGAGTTCTTCATAAATATCAATTCACTCAAGAATATTCTATCTATTAAAAATATTAGATTAATACTTGTAAAAGATTATGAAAACTTACTTATTAAAAAGAAAGTATTTGATTGAAAAATGAGAGGAAGAAACATGAAACTTGCCCAGAAGAGAAGCAATGAAGAAGAAAATTTGATTCATTAAGACCAATTAAGAGTTTTTTTTTTTAAAAAAAGAAACAAATGGACTGAATGTGAAT